TTAGGGTTTAGGGTTTAATGTGCAGGATATGTTGGGAAAGTCATGGATACTTGCAGGTTGGGTTGTAAGTACTGAAGCTGCAGCTTCAAACCGCCTCTTTTGAAGCTGCTAAACCGTCGAGCCTACACCTCAAGCGTAGCTAGAGCCCAAAACCCTGAACTCTAAACCCCAAACCCTCAACCGTAGCCGTAGCCCAAAATGCTCCCGCTTTCTTCGAGCCTCTGCCGAGAAACGCCCAAGTCTTTAGCCCTAAGCATCCATGTACCCAAATAGTATATACTTTGGTAATAAAGTAGTCCCTATTTAGGCACTTTAGAGCCAAAGTGTGTACTACTCGGGTCCATGGACTCACGAAGACGCACTAAGACATGCTACTGCTGACGGCTAAGATGCTGTGTCACCTTACCGGGTTCAGGGTTGTGGGGACAGTTTAGGGTTTAGCTCTTTCCTCGTGGTTTGATTACCTGATAATGCCCTAAACCCTAAACCCTGAACCCTAAACCCTAAACTCTAAACCACACCCACAAGATCCCAAACCCCTGAGGCTTTCGTTCGGGCCGGGCGTTGGGTTTGGGCTTAGGGTGCAAGGTTCGGCTTCCCGATTTGTGTTTTCAGACATCTGACTATTTTGTTATTTTTTTTGGTTTGCGGGGGTTGTATCCAAAGTCCCCCACTCAAGACCTTTCAAACCGGGGAAAGGCTACAGATGCAGCCGTGGCCAAAGCTGCTGAGACAGTGTCGCAGATTGACCAGGCTCGAATCGCGTGGTCGCGGGCACTTGGCTCTAGCCTAATGGTCACATCTTGGCCCTAAACCCGAAGCCATGGAGCTTTTGCCAGAACCCCCTTTAAACCCTAAACCCTAAACCCAAAGGAAGCCAAAAAGCTTTACTTCAGTAGTAGAGCTTTGCTGCAAGGGACCACTTCAACCTCTGATCCCATTTGGGGGTTTCCGAAAATAGGGGACCCTAATATAGTACCCAAATAATAGGATCCTTATTATAAGGACCCCCAAATAAGGTACCCTAATTTTCTCAAACTCCCATTTAAGCACTACAAGTATGCAACCCCGCTTCCCTGTAAACGGGACCCTATTCTGGGACCCTATCGTCTAAGGGGACCCTATACTACTGTTGATGATACAAATCCTGCATTACCTTAAGGACCCTGAACTATGGGAATTTCGGTAGGTTCCATATTATGGGTAAGGATTGTAATGCAGGATTTATATCATCAGCCGTATTATGGCCTAGAGTTCCCTTGAGAAGGGGCCCCTATTAGGGAACCTGGAGCTGTTGCCCGCCAGGCCTCAGGTATCGGAAGAAGAGCTCCCTCTCCCAACCCGGGTTTAGGGTTTAGGGCTTAGGGTCTAGAGTTTAGGATTCAGGATGTAGAGTTTAGCGTTTAGGGTTTAGGGCTTTTGGTGGAGAGTTTAGGGTTTAGGGCTTAGGGTCTAAAGGGTTTTGCGTTTAGGGTTGAGGGTACCTGAATCCGAAACCACAACCCACAGCTCGCTTGAAGAGCACTGGGCTTGTCGAAGTGGCCTGTTGATCTAGGCGGATGACAACGCCCTGAGCATCAGACTTGATATTCGAGACCCAAGACCTCAAACCGTATAGAGCTGTACTGTAAGCTTGCTTCGTCTATTTGCAAGACCGTTGATTTTCAGAACAACCGGGTACTCCGGCCTTAAGAGTAGGCTTCACCCTAAACGCCGGAAGCCCGGAACCCCATTTGTCTGCTCAGGGTGTACCAGGGAATCCACAAACCCATTGTTTTGAGGGTTATACCCTATATAGTTAAGGGTCATAACCTACGATTTTGTAGGGTTTAGCGCTACAGGTAGGGTTTTAGGTTCTATTTACGTTACTTCAAACTCTAACCGTTAACCCAACTTTTTTCGAGGCTTTTCGACATATCTCCAGGATCGTCGTATCAAAGCGCTGGCCCTGTCTTTGAGGCTAAGGCTTTAGCACTCGGTCATTGAATGCTCCGCATGCCTAGAGGACCAAACAAAAACGAAAAGGTGCCACATTTTAGAGGAGTTTATGGGATAATATGGGTGCCTTAATAATTGCCAATACATTTTTTTTTTTTTTGGGGGGGGGGGTGGGGGGG